AGTTTTTGTAAGCACTTCTGTTTTAAACTTTGCGCGCGCACGCGCACGGGATCACTTTTCGATCTTGATTTTGTAGTTGTGTTTATTTATTCGGGGAGATTGTTATATTTCTTGTTTATTTGTTTCAGTTATTTTAACACTAGTAGTAAATCTTTCAAAGTACGAAATATCTCTTTAAAAGAGCATCCTAGGCACCTTTTTTAATACTAATGTTTATAATGTTTCAGAATGTTTTAACCTCAGTGTGATTAAGTCTAAATGAACAGAGAGTTTTACTTATACTTCACTCATGAACTATGTTGTTGAGTGCCATAATTTCGTTGACTTTTTCCGTCAAGTCACCCTTGAAAACATCATATACTAGAAAAGTTTTCTGTGCCTCCGGCAGACCGACGAGAACCTCAGAACCTTTCCGTCGTTAACTTACGGTACAATAAAGTTCTCATAGTTGTCATATTCTAGACAAAAAGTTCGAATTGGAAACATTTTTGAAAAAATTCAACAGACTTTAACTTGGACGGACATGATATATACAGGGTGGCCCAAAAGTGACTACCCACACGCAACCTCTTAATAACTAACGTCATTCGTCTGCAAATTGCACCACAATTTCAGAGATTATAAATATTGGTCAAACTTAGATTTCCTGAAAGTTTTGTAAGCCACGCCCAATTACAGTGGGCGTGGCGTGACACTCCCTCTTTTTCACTATTTTCTTGGGGGGAATGCAACGTCAATTAATGTCAGTATTCCATAAAAACCCCAAACTGACATTGACATTAATTGACATTAATTGACATTAATTGACATTAATTGACATTAATTGACATTAATATGTCTTGAAATTTGAGATTATCATTATTCGATAAATATTCAAGATATTCACGTCTATGTAAGTTAGACCGGTTCAAAAAAACAAAATGTCCTTGAATAATTATGAGTATGTTCTTATCTGTTGATCCTTAGGTTCAAAGACCACCAAAAAAAATTTCAGCTTCCAACTCTTCCATCTTCGGTCCCCACCGGCCACGCCTATATTTTATTGGTTTCTTATACAGGTAAAATATCTAGAATCGGCTTTTTTAGTATGAAGGAGTAATGTTAGCTGTTTAAGATTCGTTATTCAAATATAAATGTCATGAAGGCATTTCGTTTAATGTGGGTTTTAAGTTCTGATGATGTTGAGAACCACGCCCTTGGATGGCCACGCCCATTTAAGAAAATTTAATTTCGGAAAACCGTATTATTTTAGTTATATTGTTTAATGATCTGAATTTTTTTCACATTTCACATTTCCATATGTGATAGTAGTGAATAAATTGATGATATAAACGTTCTAAAGTGCTAAAAATATGGTAGAACTACATAATCTCTGGTCGAAAAATATCGTGTCAATTAATGTCAGTATTCCAAAATTTTGCAAAACTGACATTGACATTAATTGACATTAATTGACATTAATTGACATTAATTGACATTAATTGACGTTGCATCACCCCCATTTTCTTCATAAAATGAGAACGCTTTGAGCTAAGAACTCCAATTTTTTTGCACACATTTGGCTTGATAATTTAAAACCTTTCCAAAAGTTTCAAGTTCATTGTTCAAAATTTGGCTGAGTTATGACCATTTCAAAATTCATCGGATACGTGATCCGAGCACTCAGTCAGTGATCTTTGCACTCAATCAGTGATCTCGTCACCCAATCTGATCAAGAGTAAGGTGTTAGCGTGTATTAATGAGGTTCATTAGGCTTTACCAAACATACTGAGGAGATGACGACCTGATTATGATTGATAGGATACCGATAATGACTTTGCTAGACAGAAAAACACCAAATTCTTCGTAAAAGTGAGGTCCTAGGATTTCACGAGAACTGATGGCGCACCAGATCATGACCTTTTCAGGAAAATCTGGAATCACGGTCTAAAAGTTGGTGTTTCTTTGTGATGCCCGGTTAGAAAGATCTCGCTTTAGGATTCGTTGAAGGGATGTTCTGCTGAGGTCTAAGGCAGGAGCTCGTTTTCGGGTGCCAATTTTAGGTGTATCCCTCACGTCACAAACAACCATGGTGATGTTTTCTTCGGTCCTCGCAGTTCGTCTTTTGCAGAAAAAGTGAACTTGATCTTGTGATGCATATCAAAGCAGCTTTTCCGGCAAGGGGAGGGTCGGTTGAATTTCATTTGAAATTGTCGTTTAAAGAGGGTCACAAGGTCTCAGAACCATAGTTCATGGCACTTAGGAAATGACGATAACAATGTAAAGAACATAATCTGAAAATTTGAGCTCTCTACCTAGCTCCTGAGCGGAGTTACAGCCATAATTAGATCTCGCCCCTGTGACGTCAGCTAAATTCTTCCGCTCGGGTGGGCTATGCTTGTCAAAGCAAACTTAGTGTAATGTGTTCTGTTTTCTGCCTAGTTTCTTACATGATTAACCTATTTCTATTTCCAATTTCCAGTTATGTTGTCTGCTGCTAGAAAATTACACGTAGAATTACACGATTTATTGACATAATGTTGATATTGTAACAGAAATAAAACATTACATAACATTTAGCATTGTAATATTCACTTTTGGTAAAAAGTTTTAAATGAAAAAGACCTAGTTGCCCATTCTAGAGAAACTCTTATTCTTGACACTAGCCAATGACGGCTTATCTACCCCGTGGAAGGTCCTAGGTACCGGTTTGCGGATGTAACGATTTAAGTCAATCGGTAGGAGGGTGTTTGAATTAACATTCCCCACAATCTCTGACAGGAGACTTTTCTTGAAGGGAATGATGTCCTTCACCACCTTTGTCTTAATCCTATATCGCTTGCTCGCCCTTGAATAATCCCGTACTTCATACCGCTTAGATGGGGCCATGCTCTGCAGATTGTTGTGTATAAGCACCGCAAACATCGTCATACTCATAATGATGCTGGTGTCCATCTTGTAGGCTGTTGACTTGGGCAGGTACTTTATCTTTGTGCTATGTATGACACTAACAGACGATTTTATCAATCTCATAATGAGCAAGTCAGTGCTTCACCTTGTTTCATACTCAGTCAATAAAAAGGGATGCATCAACGAAAAAGATACAGAAAATTTCAACAAAATGCTGAGATTTACTGGGTACAAATCGTTCTTGAACATAATTGATTTGAAAGGGTTGGGGAAAAGAAGGAGATACGGACTTCCGGCATGTGTAGTGCACAACATACGTGAAAAATATCCGAGTGCAAACAAGGACTACACTGGATTTAAGGCAGCGTTAGACGATTCTGAGGGAAGTGGATCAGGCAACCAACTTGGAAGTGATAAACTCCGTGCATTTTAAAGTGCATACTGCATTCCAAAAGTTCACTGCCTAAATTTCACTGCCTCTCACTTTTTCCCACAATAGTGTTACCAGAAGTCAGAACACTCATACAGCTGTCAGGAAAGACTGCTATATTTGACTGCCAGGATTGTAAAATAACAATTTTGCCGCAAAAATAGTTTTCGTCGAAGTTTAATAACACTTTTCACTACAGTCAAAACACTACAGTCAAAACTTAACGAGCCATTAAATAGAAAAGGAGGCAAATCGGGACAGTTTTGCATTTCACGGTAAGAATGTAACGTAAACAAACGGCAAGCTGAGCGGAATGGATTTTGTTTGTGTCATCAGTCTGGCCACTAACGACTCTACAAATCTATTTTTATTCACACTCTGGGCCTAGAATTTTGAGATCCCGGTCCGCAATTACCTCAACATTACACTGAGTAGAGTTGGAATTGGCTGTAATTTAGTCAATATCGACTCTTGTGACCCTCTTTAAGCTGAGGGCAGAACTCCCCATTATCTTTGTTCAGGTAGACAAACAATCGTTGTTCCGCAGTATAGGGAGGATAGTGAACCATTTTCGATGATTCAATGGATAGTTCATTCCTTTTTATCGATTGTAAGGAACGAACCTGTGACTAGCAGGGCTAACAAGCCCTGCAACCAATCAAGCGGTGCATGTCAGACAAACAGGCCATTAACCAAGTGCAGAGATCACTGACTGAGTGCTCGGATCACGTATCCGATGAATTTTGAAATGGTCATAACTCAGCCAAATTTTGAACAATGAACTTGAAACTTTAGGAAAGGTTTTAAATTATCAAGCCAAATGTGTGCAAAAAATTTGGAGTTCTTAGCTCAAAGCGTTCTCATTTTATGAAGAAAATAGTGAAAAAGAGGGAGTGTCACGCCACGCCCACTGTAATTAGGCGTGGCTTACAAAACTTTCAGGAAATCTAAGTTTGACCAATATTTGATTCACGATGTCAATCCTTCGCAGCTCGGTGAGGCACAGTGGTGCATCTCGCCGATCTACCGAAGGATTGATGCATAACAACAAGACACGCGCTAAAGACGCGCATTTTCTGAGTGATGTTAACGATAGCTTTAAATTCACTGATGTCATTATTATTCAGCGTGACCGGTAATAGTTTAAAAATCAGAAGGAGAAAACACATGTTTAAATTACTAAAAAAGGAGTATCACTTTACAGGATTGAATTTAAATATAGTCATAATAGATAAGAGAGGAATTTGTTTCCCTTTGAATCAATCAAACTAGATGAATTGTTGTAAATACTTAGATCAAACTATCAATCTACAGGCTATCGTCAAACATGTTGCAAGGCGTCATCTTCAGTGACATAATAGATAAGAGTTTATTGACTATCATGCCAACTTTAGAGACGGTAACCACATTAAACTAAAGTTTTCCCAATCAAAATAAAGGGTTTATACAAAATAAAAGGTTTATGCACTAGACTGCGAGACAATTAACCTTATGCAATGCAGGTTAGTATAACTATAATATCGGACTGAGTTGAAATTTCTGAGAGCATGATACCCCAAAATAAATATATGCCTGTGTCTGGCAATAGCGTTCAGATGGCTTCCGAACTTGTGCGGATAAGATAATATAAAAAATACAAATAAACTATAATAACAATCTGAAAATTAATGTATCAGCACTTTCAAAACATTTCTCTTAAATTATCTTTCTTAACACCGTTCAATTGTAACTTTAAATTAAAATATTATGATGATCCGGACGATGATAAATATTAAATTACAACTGATTATATTTATGGATTTCGGCCTGTCGATGCTGGAAGCTGATCAGCTAATCGTTAATCGTTACCATGTGACAAGAATAGTATGATGAACCTCCCAATCAGTATCTATGTATCAAAAGAAAATATTGATCTAATTCAACTCGTCGGGAGCCCTTTTGAAACATCTCGAAGTTAGAGTGCAGAGTGCATGATTACTGATTATCAGCACGATTGGGTGAAACAAAGACGAAACCGTGTGTTGATTAGAATTAAAAGAGGAAGATATTTAGTGATAAATTGTGCACTCTTGCATTTAAGTTTTAATTGTTAGACTTGTTCGATGTAGGGCCTTTAATTTAACCTAATACTAATGCAGTTACTTAATACTTGGTAAGTCTAGGGAAAACAGGTGCTAGTTGTCGGAAATGAAATGGAGTCTGTTCCTGATCGAAGTTACATGATGCTGATAGATTTGATGCAGCTCAGCACTCAGCAGCCACTGTCTTCAAATAGAGTGTTCCAGTTCTGCAATCTGCAGTCTCAAATGTTTTCGCCCAGCTTTTCTTTTCATCGTGGTTATAGAAGACAGACCTGAAGAAATACTAGTATAATGATAATATAGGTAACATGTCCAGAATGAGTAAAATTGTATTATCGGCAAATTTACTTATGTGAAAACTCCCAACAGGGTGGCGCTGGCCCAGAAGTAACTGCACACAAGCAACCCTTTAATGATCACGCACGTAATTTGTGTGAAAATATGTAACTCATTTAACGAAGTCAGTGAAAAGAACCTACCTTTATTTACCAATGTCGATTTTTTGCTTGTGATGAAGTAGTCCTCGCAAATGTGAGATATGTATGTAGTTTGTTTTTAAAAGTAGGATTGTAGTCATAGTCGATGTATAGCGACGGTAGTTTACCAGCAGCTCCCTGTACAAATAGAAATGTGGTTTTTATATAATATTACTAGTTAAATTAATGAGTACAATGCAGGAATAAAAAAATGTGTCTTAAATGTTTTATATTAAATGTGTTATAATTATATTAACCACCTTATATTCGTATAATATGTACTCACAAACAATGATAGTCCCAACTGTTTTTAATTGCTTATAATTTAAACCTTCTTATTAAATAATTTAGATGACTGTGTCTGATCTAAAATTGCACGAGAAATAGAGAAAATTAGGTCTCAGACAGAACTCGACCGGGATATAACCGGCGCAGCCGGAATACCGGCTGGTATTTGGCGATTTTGTACCGGTACCGGCCGGGATTTTAGCCGGGATTTTTCAAAATAAATTCAGTTTTTCTCAACGTTAATTTGAGTCCAAAATTAACAAATCTGTGAACATTTTCCTAAAACATTTTGACGAAGTCATTGAACAATGGAGACTGGAGTCAATCTATATTTAACATAATCATGGGTGTACGAATTATGGACTTCTTTCTGACTTATGACTTAATTATTGTGACTAAGTGTCACGGCTCACGGTCTTGTGTTACCGAGGGACAAGTAAAACAGAGTTCTCCGGGTAAAGAAAGCATTAATAAATGCTATTCAGTATTCATCCTATTCAATTATTCAGGTAAGGTGATGTAAACTGTAAAGTGATAAGCTCCAACGTCAAACACCATGTTCAATTAAATAAGTTTAAGTAACCAATACCAGATCACAGGATTGTTATAGTTACGGAGACTGTTGGAAACGATGCAAACCAGGATCGGACTCCTATCAGAAATAGTCGACCACCGGTCCAGCCTCCCTCAAACTCAAATGCCCTACCACTACCCCAGACCACATCCACCTCTTCAGCCAGGAACAGCGCTCCCACTATACCACTACCAGCAGTTCCTACCGCCTCAGAGGATACACTGCACGTGCCCGTTATTCCTCATGCCTCGTCTTAAATGTCCAGTCCATGAATCCTAGTGCATCAAGTGCGAGTATATGGGAAGTGCCAAAAATCTCAGCTCTTATTCAGGAGAAATCCAAAAACCACTCGTTACCGTTTATTGCACTTACGGAAACGTGGCTCAAGTCCTACATGTCAGACAAATACAAAATGTGCATCACCTCTTTCTCCTGCTGAGCAGAACCTCCCCCTTAAAAGTAAACAAATCTGCATCGCCTCCCAACGACAATCCAGATATATTAAGCAGCAGAGACAATCATTTAAGGAGACTTCGATATCTATCAGGATCATGATTATACTGCCTGAGAACTCAGCACTTCAGGATGAAACATATAATATTTGGTTTTCTCGATTTCATTCATATTTAGACAGAAGTCCGTGTAGATAATTGGTTATAGAATAATTGGATATAATTTTATGCGAAGTTGTGTCTGCGAAAATATACGTGTGAACTGGTCATCCCGCAAATGCTGAAAAAGTAGATGTTACCTATCATAAAATAACCGCTCGCACCGTACAGTGTACACGACAGAGTTGTGACTGCGTTTACAAATTCTTTATCATATTGATGTGTTGCCATGGCAACCGAAACTCCATCGGAAGATCGGCCTGTAAGGCATAATCATGATAATACACAGTATCAAAACATTGCCATTGATATCATAGCAACATTCCAGAGATTAGATTATGTGTGTAAGAAAATGTATGTTATAGTATTATACAGTCTGCTAGAACATTCCGTTTACACATGGTGGCCGATAACAACTTGTTTAATTTATCTCCGAATTACACACAAATTTCTGAAAGTTTCGTAGACTTAAATCAATTACAGAGGGTGTGGCTATTGGCCAGCCCCTCTATTTCACTATTATGGTTGAAACTATAAAAATACAGATTATATTGATACAGTGATTTTACAAAAGTCGAAACAGTAAACACCAATTTGTAGGATACTTTAAATCACACCAAAATTGGTCCCAGAATGCAATGAAATCTGATGGCGTCTTTTCAGTGAAAAAGAGGCCACACTCTCTGTAATTGATTAAAGTTTAAGAGACCTTTAGAAAATGAGTTATATAACTTGCAACTTAAACTAAGATAAATTGAGTATTTATACTCAATTTATCTTAGTTGCATGAGTAATATATATATACTACCCACTATACCACTACCAGCAGTTCCTACCGCCTCAGAGGATACACTGCATGTGCCCGTTATTCCTCATGCCTCGTCTTAAATGTCCAGTCCATGAATCCTGTGCATCAAGTGCGAGTATATGGGAAGTGCCAAAAATCTCAGCTCTTATTCAGGAGAAATCCAAAAACCACTCGTTACCGTTTATTGCACTTACGGAAACGTGGCTCAAGTCCTACATGTCAGACAAATACAAAATGTGCATCACCTCTTTCTCCTGCTGAGCAGAACCTGCCCCTTAAAAGTAAACAAATCTGCATCGCCTCCCAACGACAATCCAGATATATTAAGCAGCAGAGACAATCATTTAAGGAGACTTCGATATCTATCAGGATCATGATTTTACTGCCTGAGAACTCAGCACTTCAGGATGAAACATATAATATTTGGTTTTCTCGATTTCATTCATATTTAGACAGAAGTCCGTGTAGATAATTGGTTATAGAATAATTGGATATAATTTTATGCGAAGTTGTGTCTGCGAAAATATACGTGTGAACTGGTCATCCCGCAAATGCTGAAAAAGTAGATGTTACCTATCATAAAATAACCGCTCGCACCGTACAGTGTACACGACAGAGTTGTGACTGCGTTTACAAATTCTTTATCATATTGATGTGTTGCCATGGCAACCGAAACTCCATCGGAAGATCGGCCTGTAAGGCATAATCATGATAATACACAGTATCAAAACATTGCCATTGATATCATAGCAACATTCCAGAGATTAGATTATGTGTGTGTAAGAAAATGTATGTTATAGTATTATACAGTCTGCTAGAACATTCCGTTTACACATGGTGGCCGATAACAACTTGTTTAATTTATCTCCGAATTACACACAAATTTCTGAAAGTTTCGTAGACTTAAATCAATTACAGAGGGTGTGGCTATTGGCCAGCCCCTCTATTTCACTATTATGGTTGAAACTATAAAAATACAGATTATATTGATACAGTGATTTTACAAAAGTCGAAACAGTAAACACCAATTTGTAGGATACTTTAAATCACACCAAAATTGGTCCCAGAATGCAATGAAATCTGATGGCGTCTTTTCAGTGAAAAAGAGGCCACACTCTCTGTAGGTAATTGATTAAAGTTTACGAGACCTTTAGAAAATGAGTTATATAACTTGCAACTTAAACTAAGATAAATTGAGTATTTATACTCAATTTATCTTAGTTGCATGAGTAATATATATATACTCTAATTTTTTTAGAGCAAACGTAATTTAAATGGCTAAACACAATTCAATAAAATTTGGCTCGATCCGATTATCCAAACTATCAAATAAATGCGAAAATGAACCTTCTTTTGAAAACAATGAACACAAATATGTTTCGATTTGACAAATTTCTCGAACCAGTGGTGGTAGTAAGTCATACCAGAACCAATTATTTCAATTGGGCACTCAGTGACTGAGCTATTAATGCCAACGTTTGCACACTGACTTTTGGCCCACCCTGTATATTTATAATATACGGCTGGAAAAAATGTAACTGGATATCTGCCACAATGCAGCTATTATTAAGGTTAAAGTAACATTTAGCACATAAAGAAGTCTGGTTTGCTAGATTTTAATTGGTCGTATAATAACAAATAAAAATGAGTTAAGACTACAAAAACGGTCGATAGAACCTAATTATAATACCTGTATCGAGAACTCGACTTCAATGCACTGATAGCGTTGGTACTAACATTCTATCAAATTATGTCATATCTTGAGACTTGATAGCTGCCTGAAACAGTTTTGAGTCAACATTATCGTGATATTCTAGAAATTGAAACCAATTCTCAACTTTAAAAAAGCAGGTTTCAATAAATGCCATAGAATTAAATTCTACCTTTTTAAATTTTAAGAATTTGTTGATTTATTAAAATTCTGTCTCAATTAATATATAAGGGTACATGCAATGTATTTCGACACGCACTGTAGACTCACTTATTGGGTTCGTGCTAGATGCTGTGTACGTCACCCTCTTAACCACCTCTATGGCGAAGATGAGGATGGTAAGTGCAAGTACAGTAATGTGAGGAGAGGATGGGTATCATTTAGCACATTTTTGCTGTAGGTTTAAAGTAGCTCTTAGTCAAGGAGTATATAAATGACGGCACGACAAGGTTCTGCAACAGATCTCTGAACATGTTATCTTGTGAGCGCCGAGTGAACACTTATAAGAACAAGGCCAGCGATGTAAGACAGTATCATTGACTTAGTCCATGCTGGGAGGAAAAAAGCAAGTACAGACGACCGAAAGGAGTCGTGGTTTGGGATCCTGAGTGGGTCTCGATATTGGATAGTGCTTTTATATATCGGACCTAATTATGATATTCTCAAGGTCACCAAGACGGCACAGTCTTATGGCGGGAGGTAACGGTACCATCTAAAGAGCAGATTGCTGAATCATACAAGTAAAAACTCTACCGGTACAGCAGTCTTACAGCAGACTGAGATTCAAGCGAAAGAATTGTGCTGTTATAATTATGCGGTTAAAGTTCTAGCACCGGGAGTAGTTGTTCACGGTTTGGAGAGAGCTGAGTAGGCTAGTACGGGATAGAAGGGAAGAAGCAGCTCACTGTTCCAGATGGATCTACTTCTTATCAAGGAAGAAGGAGTGGTAGGTATAGTAAGGAAGATTGGAGCCTAAGAGTTAACTTAACATCTAGAGGTACCACAAACTTTATCTCGTCGCCAATTGCGAGCTTTAACGGGTTTCCTCAAGTGACTCGATGGTTTAATTGTGACAAATCATGATACGAACTTTGATGAACCCATAATAGTATAGTGCAATAATACTATGATAGTATTCTCATAAGTTCTACCCTTGCAACCGAGTACAATGTACATACTAAGTGATATCAAGCTGCAATCTAAAATTTATTAATTGAATCTCAAAATAACTTCAAATTTTACCTAATAATTGCGACATCGTTGGAAGTGAGAAATAAAATACATTAAATTTTAATCCAATTCTGCGAGAGAAGATTTGCCCAGACAGCTGACAAGAATGTATTACCATACTTCCTGTAAATGTGGTAGTTATTAGGTCATATCAAACTTGAAAATTATGTCAAAGTTTTTCTCAGTCTCTGGTGTCAATCACCAGTAGAGTGCCCAGCCGCACCAAAACAACCTGCGATTTTTACGTGGGAAACATCGTATAATACACATGCTATACACTCTAGTTATATAGCAGCTACTGATATCATGCGGCAGTATTAATAAGCATACAAATTCAGCGCAAAAAATTGTAAAGACGACACAAATTCATGCGGGATGTTAATAAATGTGTCCATGTTGAACTCAAACTCCGACAGAATAATATTTCAAATCGGATATATTATAATTAATCAAATGGTATCTGCTCATGTTCCGTCTATATAAACTACAAAACTTAATAAATTAGTGAAGTTCTGAAACAAAGATCACGACTAGGTTTTATCAAAATTGAAAAGAAAACCGATCGAAGTGCACTAGAGATATAATTTAAGTTTAAAGGGTCATCATTACTAAAATCTCTTCCTAGCTCCTAGCAATCAAGTTGTTAATCCTAGTTCTACACCTAAACAAGTACAAAATTACAGCCTTACATTTTGAAATTTTTCGATATCCAGCTCAACATAAGACTTCGATACCAATAATGCATAATGGGTACATACCGATGATCGGTGTTCGTAAATATTTGATTATTTATAGTATTGAAGTTTAAAATCTTCCTAATTATGTAAGAATAACAAAAGGAATCACGTACTAGTGTGCTGTTACGAAAAACAACTATTTAATAAAAATAAATTAACAGTATTCGAGTACAAAATTAAAAATACAAACTCCAACATAATCGACAGACAAACTCAATAAATGAAGATTTCGTCGTGAAACGAGCTATATATACAGCTATAACGTAGCGCTCGACTCCACATGCAGTCTGAACCAAAATTAAGTCGCGTTCGTAGGAAATTGACCACCAGCTGCTGGTGGTTCGAATGTTGGTTTGCACACTACTGTGGTTGCGAGAAGCATTATTTGATGCGCGCGCGACCCAGTAGTGCATCGCGCTACAAGACCAATATTTATAATCTCTGAAATTTTGGTGCAATTTGGAGACGAATGACGTTAGTTATTAAGAGGTTACGTGTGGGTAGTCACTTTTGGGCCACCCTGTATAATAAGAACACTGATCAATTCAAGCTTAACAAGCCATACTATGATTGCAATCATTAAACAAATTAATATCGTCTTTAGCGTTATTTATGATTGCTGAATTGCAGTATGAATGGGGCCGGCAGAATTAGATTTCACGATATTATCGTAAAAATCAATTTTATAACTTAAAGTTGAAGTTGCAACCAGTTCAGTTGATGATTCTTGCAAAAAAAGCAGTATTGTACCTAACTATGCAGCATATTGGAGCCGTAAGTGCCACATGTGAGTGCCACTAGTGCTGCATGTTATATATGATAGTGCTGCAAGTGCCACATGTGAGTGCCACTAGTGCCGCATGCTACATATGATAGTGCCGCAAGTTCCACATGTGAGTGCCACTAGTGCCGCATGCTACATATGATAGTGCCGCAAGTGCCACATGTGAGTGCCACATGCTACATATGATAGTGCCACAAGTGCCACATGTGAGTGCCACAAGTGCCACATGCTACATATGATAGTGCCACAAGTGCCACATGTGAGTGCCGCAAGTGCCACATGTTTCAATATAACCCAACTTTCAGCCGTTTAAGACCCCCTCGCCCTCCATCAGACACTAATCAGTTGCACAGCTATTATACAAGAATTACGTTATTCACAATAGCTATGAAGATATCCACCCACAGTGTTAGATCATTTTGCACAAGGCTTTCTTCCCCCGGTCCCAGTGAACCTCTAGGCTCTGACTCAGCCCCTTAGCCTCAGATCGTGATATCATGAGATTCTGATAAATTAATCACAAGGCGCGTCACAATTTTTATTTTTATCAGACTTATGACATTAGTATTAGCATCAAACAATTCTCCGTTTAATGTCTAAATATTGAGACAAATTATATATATATTGAAATAAACAGGATGAATATTATTAGTAGAATAATTACTACATCGCTAGTCCTGCTACATCGCTAGTCGCAAAAGCTTCAAACTGTGAAGATCAAATAGAAATTTATCTGAAAATATTACCAAAGTAGATGTTTTGTGCGTACCAGGATATCAGCATCTTTGTAGTTGTACACAGTGGCTGCGCTGCAACTAGCGCACAAATTTGGCGCCCCGCCGTCAGTCGAACTAAGTAGACCTTACGTCGATTTATCGTTAACAACGCATGATTTTGCCATTTGCACAAATATTGTAAAAATGCGCGGTCGAGCCGCGCACAGTCAACACAATTTTTGATGAAACAGCTACAAGCTAGAGCCAATATACTCTGCAAGCTTTTCAGTCAGCCTCTTCCACATACCAGGCAGCATTAATTTGCATTACCTCTTCCACAAGTACTCCACTCAAAAATTAGATTTCTAGAGCTCAATCTAGGATCATTTCTTTGTGCACTGTTTCAAAACGCGATCGTACGCTACCTTTTGTTCGCAGTTTTTTACCTTCTGTTCACAGCTTTTTTAAAAATTTGTTATTCATTGTGTATTGGCATATTTGTTATATGCTTTTTATTGTTCATGAAGTTGATGACATGAGCATATTATTGTCATGTTTTGTTGATCGTGCAAATTTTAAATTGCTTTATTATACTATACTTCTCCGGTTTTAGAAAATGGATTCTGTGAATTCTAATAAAGATACACGCCCTCATATTGAGCTAAATACTCTTTTCGAGACAGGAGCATGATTAACCAATGGATCGTTTGTGAGTAAAAATGTTCAAGTTTCTATTAAGAATGCTTTTGTTTAGATAAATTCATCGTTCAAAATATTATGGCTCAACGTTATTAGTATTACCGTACACGTATCTATTTTACAGTTACTCTATTTTAGGATATGACCCGATATTTTATATTACTGTATCTATTTTACAGGACATTTCTACCGTCAGTACCAATCTGCTCAGCAACTCCTTTTCTAACAACCATCATATGGCCATCGGTATATAGGACGACCTCATAAGACCTTTCCGGACATCCTACAAGATCAGAAGATACTGGATTGCAATCTGATAAGGTTCGTTGGCTCATGAGTGATAGAGATAAATGGAGAGAAGCGCTGTCACGAAACTGGAAACTCGTTCCAGACTTCATCGACCTAGGCAGGTAGGCATTTTACAATTATTTCAGAATAATATGACCTGACATGTTAATTATTACCGTATCTGTTTTACAATTACTTCAAGATATGAATCAGTGTTCAAAAATGCGTCAATTCAAGTTGGTCTAGTTCGATCGGCCCTTCTAGAACTATATCCGTGTTTCCTAAAAAAGGTTCATCATTTTTTCCAGTTGTTTCTTGCACCCTCTAGATCTCCTCCCATATTTGGGCCATTCGTATCGGCCAATTGAGCAGAAATTCAGGAAGCTTGGTTTCAGATATTTTTGTGATATCAGACATGTGTAATTGTACGCTCCTGTCACCAGTGTACACATCATTTTAGACTACTAGTTCATCTTCCTATGTGGTTATTGGCCTTTTGTTATTAACCTCATTACACACGGTTAGCAAGCTGTTTCCACCTCACTTTCCTTAATTAGGCTTCTTTGTCACCCCTTTTGTTTACTCTACAGACTGACAGGCTTAGTTATACTCCATTAATTGGATGATGTTAGTTTAAGACCGGCATATGTGTCACGTGAATATATTTAGAGGCAATCAGGGAGACTGTCGGGACTCTTTCTCTGTATTACTCTTGATAAAACGTATTACTCTCGTAAAACGGTGAATTCAACGGTAAATGTACTTAAACGCACTTTTAACCTTAGTTGTAGTGAACGCTGAACTTAGTCGTACTGAACGTACGTTCCAATCATTTTGTAGTGAACGTTTGTGAACGTTAGTATACGTTAGTCAATATTTTGATAATTTTCCGATAGTTTTTAACTTAAGATGGATACAATGAGATAAAACCATGTTGTTGGAATTAGACAGTAAATAAACAATGACCAAACTGACCAACTATGGTTACCACAGCAAATATACTGTTCTCGTATCTTGCGGTCGATTTAACGGTCTGTTCATGGTACTTCCCAAAAGATTTGGGGTATGATTACCCTGAAGGCTGAAACTTAAGAAGTCAAAGGTAAAATTGTTAAACTTAAAGTTGCTCAAGGATACGTTTCTTTCTCTGGAATTTGATCTTCCACAAAACTTCATTAGGGATCGATGTGTAAAATGTACATCGTTCTTATATATACGATATTATAGTATAACAACCATTCAGCTCAAGATCAAACAACATTTGTATTTGTAACATACCTCAAGGCCCTGAAGGCCTGGCAATGAAAACGCTAGTACTTTGCCGGATAATTGGGCTATGTCCTGCATTTTAATTTCATAATAGCAATTAACTTTCCTTATGTTCCGAACGTTAAAATTTTTTAGCGAACGCGTTCACAAACTATTTTTAGTGAACGTTCCGTACGTTAGATAGCTGAGCGTGGTGATTAAATCACTCTACACTTGAATTTTGACATTCTTCTAAAAGACCTCCCGAAAATTCATGAATAACCTGATTTTAAGGTTCTTTGATCTAACACTGCCGGCGTCTCTTCCGAGGTTGTCTAATCTATTTATCAATTTAGCTCGAGAGCTTTAAACAAACATTGCACGTGCCTCGGCTGCCCCGATGGAGTAAAACATTTAGCTAGAGCCATGATCATTAGTGGCAGTGGCTATCCCTGCTGCATATAATGCAGTACGTGTACTAATAGCAGCAGATATGAAATAACAACAAGATTGCTTACTGATTCGCTTGCAAGAAATTCCTGAGCTGAATAGGGCCGGTAGCTCAATTAAAGCACTAGGCATGTAACCCGGAGGTTGGCGGTTCATACCCGCCCCGGCATTATGCCGTCCCATGATTTTCCGAATTGCTTACCAGTGGTAGT